TATAGAAGGTTTTGAAAAATTATACATTTTAGTTATTTTACCCTATCCCAAAAGTTTTCCTCTCAGAAAATATATACGTCATTCCGGTTTACCTTTCCACACTCCATACACTAAATGCGTAATATAACTAGTTTTAAATTTAGTATTGTATACATTACCATTGCATAGTTTTAAATGTAAAATATGAGGACATATTTTTTTTAATAACATAAAGGAGTGTTGTATGTACCAATATTCCTTTATGCTAAATAGTTAAATTGTTTTTATATTCATTTTTCTTAACAATAGGCCAACGAAGCAAATGAGCTGAGGCAGCAGTTTGTAAAATTATATTTAAGAACATAATAACCACGGTACGGGGGCAGTGTGGTTTTTCTAGCCAGGTCCGCATGTTTGTAAATGCTTCTTCTATTTTAATATTTTTGTGTTTGTTTTGTTTAAATAAAGTGATTTAATAGTGTGAAAATTATTAACAATTATTTTGTGTACCATCGAGAGATAGGTATACGACAATAATGATTCATTATTGTTAGATCACCGACAATGGTTTTTTTTTATTTTATGCTTTTATCCCCTATATATTTTAATATTTTAATGTATAAATGCTTAATAAGTTATTTTATGCTATTATCTACTATATATTTATATACTTTAATGTATAATTGCTTAATAATGAAAATAAAATGCTAATTATATTTCTTTTGCTTTACATTTGCTTTAACTAAATAGTTGGTTATGGATGATAGTATTGAAAGCAATTCAAGCAATTCTTCAGGCACGTTAACTGTGTCAAAGCCAAATGATACTGGTAAAAAAATTTGAACATAGGTAGATAGTTTTAGTCTTTAATTCATAAGTTATAATTTATTACAGCAAAAAATAGTTGTCCAACTCAATCTTCTAATCACTCAAAATATGATATTGGTTTGTATATCAATTCCTCAAGAAAAATAACTGATGAAGATAAAATTGAAATTATAAGTCATATTTGGACTCCAGATGCTAAATATAATTTCCCAACTGTAGATCATGGTAAATTTAAACGGACATTCCAATTGAAGTGGCTTGACTTATTCCAGTGGTTGGCTTATTCAAACAATAAAAATGGTTCTTTCTGTAAGTTTTGTGTGTTATTTTTGAACTCGTATCATGTTCGCAAGGGATTAAATACTGCTGTAGGTACACTAGTTGTAAGACCACACACAAACTTAAAAAATGCTCTTGATACATTTAGAAATCATGAAAAAACCAATTATCATCAGTCTGCTTTTCAAATTGCTGAAAATATAATGTCAATTTTGAATAAAAAGAAAGATAGTATTATAATACAGCTTGATACAAAACGAGTAAAGGATACATCAGTTAACCGAGCAAAATTGAAACCAATTATTCAGACCATCAGGTTTTGTGGGAGACAGCAAATAGCTTCACGAAGACATGAGGATTGGGGACGTATAACGATGGATGAACCGGACAAAAATGATGGTAATTTTCGTAGTCTTTTACGGTACCGTGCCAATAGCAGTGCCGCAACATCCACCCGGGCAGCCGGGGCAATGCCCTGGAGAACGGCCTCCATTCCTATTTTGTGGCCCCTATTTATAATTTTCACAATTTTTAATTTTTATATACCCAATAATACCTACTGTATTGTGATAATTTGTGACAACTGTGTATACTGTGTAAGATAAAATTAATTTTAAAAATGTTTGTGCTATTACACTATTACAGTTATTATCAAAATATTGATGACTGAAAATTATAGTCCGGAATTGATTTATTATTATCGTTTGTTGGAATATTAACGGGAATCCCGCTATTTACGTCACCACGGCGGCCTATCTAACGATTTGTTTGTTTTGACTATGACACGCCAGTATGCCACGCGCTGATGATCCTATATAAGAACTATTCATATTGTGTATAAATACTATAAATTAATAATATTACGACTGCAAGTGTGGCTAGCGTTGTAGGAACACTCGGAATAGTATTAAACAAAATCATCGCGTTCTTTATTTGGTATTTGCGTACAGCGAGCAGTGCGAGGTACGACTGTGCGACTCGTGCGAGTATCTATATAACTTATTAGTTATTACTTATTAGTTAATGTTATTTACTTAGTGGCTAGTTTGACTTCTGTATTCTGTTCTTCATTATTATTGTATGTTGTACACTTGTACATTAATAATAATAATAATGGAATCTTCTCAACAACCGTTGAAAAAAATTAGATTGTCCGGTGGAGCAAGAAAAATGTTGAAACAGAAAGAAAAATCTATTAAAGGGAATAGAAGTATTTTGTCATTTATTCAATCTCCAGTTTCTGAAACTGTTATTTCAAATTCGAAATCTGTAGAATTCGAAGATAGTTCATACCAAATTGAGTCAACGTCAACCCAAGGTAATTATATGGTTGTATTTAATAAACTATAATTAATATAGAAATTGATATCATAGGTTAGTAAGAAATACATAATTATTTTGTATACATTTTTAATAATTTCATTTTATTAGTTTATTACCTCTTAGTTCTTACTATTAAATAATTAATAAATAGTAGGTGCCTATACCTACTGACTATACTTAACTAAAATAATATTTTTTTCTACTAGTACTTTTTTTTATTAAACCATGTGTTAGTTGATACTTGATGGTCACCATGAGATAGTTATTGCTAATTAAAAATTCAACTATTATAGCTTGTGAAACTATTTCTGCAAATTCAAATGTATCAAGACTAGATGGAGATGGTGGTAATGCAATGTTTATTAAGTCAATAGAAGGTAATTATATTGTATTTAATATTTAATGTATAAATATTTAAATATTAAATGTTGAATTTATTTTATAGTTGAAAAATCCATAAAACTCCATAATGAAAGCACTTTGTCATTAATTCAACCATTGGTTTGTGAAACTGTTACTTCAAATACAAATGTATTAGAACTGTGCAATGAAGAAGATCCACCTTCAAATAAGCTAACACAAGGTATTTATGATTGTATTTATGATACTAACCTAACCTATATATATATAAAATCGTATTATAAATAAGGTATAGGTGTATAACTCATAGTAAATCAACTAAACCATAATAAGAAAATTATGAAAATTTAGACATCCTTCCACTCATTTTAAGCCACTTCGACCACTGCTTAAATATTAGTATTATTTTAATAAATATAGTTTATTTAAGTTTTATTATTATTAGTATAACCTTATAATTTATTATACATACATAACGTGTTAAATTCGATTTTTAGTTAATAGTTAGTAAATTAGTTTTTAGCGTAGTTAAGAAAGTTGCAGACCCCTGATTTACACTTATACAAATATGCATTTAGATACAAATCTACTATCCTCAGAATATGATAAATAAACTAATAATTTTTTAGGATTAGATTTTTCAACTGAATATCCTACTGACCGTGGACATTTTGAAGATATTATAAGCAGTGATATGAAATATAGTATAATGAGTTATGGTCCATGCAGACTGCAGACCTATTATTAACTTTCCTTACTCACCAGATGGTAGTGGAGTTTTAAGAAAATTTTCAGCCAGTTATTACAATATGACAACAAAATCAGGTTTACAAATTCCTCGATTATGGCTTTGTTATTCTATTTTATTAAACCGTGTGTATTGTGAAACGTGTTGGTTGTTTGCAAACAGAAACCAAAAAGGATTCAAAAACAATTGGATTGTAGGGATAAATGACTGGCATCACATGAATGACAAAATTAATGATCATGAAAAATCCCAAACACATATTTATGCCAGTAGTGTTCGACTTCATTGGTCAGAGAATAAAACTATAAATAGACATACTGAAGAACAAATTTCCAAAGAAGCAGATTTTTGGAAAAATGTACTAACCCGAATAATCAAAATAATTTTGTACTTGACTGAAGGTAATACAGCACTCAGGGGAAACGAAGGTAGTGGAAAAAGTAGATCCAATAGTGAAGGTAATTTTATAAGAACTGTCTAGCTGATGTCTGAATTTGATCCAATTTTATATGAATTGTTAAATAATGAGAGTCTAAAAACAAAATATTTTAGTTGGAAAATTCAAAACGAAATTATAGATTTATTAGCTGTTGAACTTCGTCGTTTATTATGTAAAGAAATAAAAGATTCAAAATTGTTTTCTATTATAATGGATTCTACTTTAGACATCACAAAAAAAGATCAATTAAGTGTTGTATTACGTTATGTTGTGATTGATTACCATAAAAAATCTATTGAAATAAAAGAATCTTTTTTAGGTTTTTTTGAATTAAAAAAACATGGTGCTGCTGACTATGAAAATCTGTTGTATAGTATTTTGGAATCTTATGATCTAAATGTGAAAAACTGTCGTGGACAAGGATACGATGGTGCATCTGTTATGAGTGGCAGTAATAGTGGAGTCCAAAAACGTATCATGTCAGTGGCACCAAATGCACCATTTGTTCATTGCTGCGCACATAATTTGAATTTGGTTATTTCTGATGCAGCCAAAAGCACTCAAGTCGCAAATAATTTCTTTGCCACTGTTCAAGCTATTTTTAACTTTTTTAGTACTAGCGCTCCTCGGTGGGCCACGTTAGCTTTCAGTGAAGACTTTGCTTGCAAAATTAGAAAGAAAGTATTGAAAAAAATATGTCCAACTCGGTGGGAAGCCAGACACGAATCAGTCTCAGCTCTTAAACAACGATATATTGATGTACTTAAGTCATTGATTAACATAAGTTTAATCAGTGAGAAGTCTGACGAACGAAGTGAAGCTCAATCTTTACAAAAAAAAAAATGGAATCTTTTCAATTTGTGTTGATGTTGAGTGTTTGGGAAAACATATTACGGCCACTTCATGGTGTTTCAAAAATGTTACAACAACAAGATATGAATCTACAAAATGCACGAGACAGATTAAAAGATGTTTATTATTTAATAAATGAATTGAGAAATAATTATGAAGATATAGTAAATAATGCCAAGTCATTATGTTTGAGATGGAGCTTACCTGTTACATATACTGAACCTCGTCAGATATATGCAAAAAAACATTTTGATGAAGTCGATGGAGATAGGCGGTCAACTATAACAACAGAAAACTTTAAAATTAAAGTATTTTATCCTATTATAGATACTGTTTTAATGCAGCTTAATATTCGTTTTAAAGCAATGGACAATGTATGTACTACATTTGATTTTCTTAATCCAAATAATCTCTTATGTTTAAGAGAAGATAATATTGTAAAGGAGTCATATGATTTTATTCAAACGTATAAAGATGACATTAGTTCTGATTTTACTGGTCAGATTTTATCATTAAAAGAATTAATAAAAAATAAAAATTTAAAAACTATAAATGAAATGGCCAATTGTATACTTACCAATGATATAGCAACAAGTTACTCAGAAATCTTAGTAGCTTGTACAATATTTTTAACACTGCCAGTTACAGTAGCAACGGCTGAAAGGTCATTCTCAAAATTAAAAATTATAAAAAATTATTTAAGAAATTCTTGTAGCCAAAATCGACTTTCAAACATTGCTATACTCAATATAGAACAAAAGCGGACTTCAGAATTAAAAACAGAAAAATTAATTAAAGATTTCGCTAATTTGAAAGCAAGAAAGATGAAATTTGTTTAAAATATTAACATCATATTATTTTTATAAAATGTATAACTTTATTCTATTATAATTAACTTATTCTTTCATGTGTTTTTATTTATAATAAATTAATATGATGGATATTAAAAGTGTTGTTCTTTACTAAAATGTATGTTTTACATGTATGAAATACTTTTTAATAAAGATTATGTTTGTTTGTTGAATTTTATCTAACTGACTCCAATAAATTTGTTCACTAATTTAAACCCTGGTGCAGTGATGCTAGATAGTGGCCCCTAAATAATCTTTTGTCCTAGGGCTCAAAAATTCTAGTTGCGGCACTGGCCAATAGTGGTGATGTTATTTTAAAAGAACATCTTGAGACAACCAGTTCCCGAGAATTATATACCAGTCTTATAATACAAAACGAGATAATTACAATATTTGGAGAACTTATTCAATCTCACTTAGTAAATGAAATTTCTAAAGCAGAATTTTTTACAGTTCTTGCGGATGAAACTACAGACATTACTCAGGTAGAACAGTTTTCTTTATGTATAAGGTATTTTGATGAAACTATTGAAAATCAGGGAAGATTTTCTTACGTTTGTCTCAGTTGATGATGTTACTGGTTTAGGGCTAGCCAATACATTACAAAATACATTAGAAAAACTTGGCTTTGATCTAAATAAATTAGGTGGGCAAGGATATGAAGGTGCTACGGCAATGAGGGGCAGCTTTCGAGGAGTTCAAGCTATTATCAAAGAAAAATACCCAAAAGCATTGTATACCTTATTGCGTTTCTCATTCGTTGAATCTTTGTTTATCAGATGCAGCAAAAATACAAGATATTAGAAATGCTTTTGGGGTGATATCTGATTGTTGCTCATTTTTTAATTGTTCGGCTAAGCGAACCACTATTCGAAACCACTATATAAAATTTTGAAAATAAAACCAAATGTTCAAGCTACAAAATTAAAATCACTGTGTGAAACAAGATGAGTTTTACGTCATGAATCGGTTTTGCTATTTAAAGAATTTTTGCAGCCCATTGTTGCTGCATTGGAACAATTACAAACTGAGGGAACACGTGGAACCGACTTAACTAGAACTAACGGTATGTTAAATGGCATATTATGTAATTTTAATTTTATTGTAGCAGTTAATATTTCAAGTAAGTTATAAGGATATACAAATAATTTGTCACAATACTTACAAAAGTCAAATTTAGATCTAGCTACAGCTCTTAAACAAATGGAAACCATAACATTAAAATTTCAAAAAAATGTGAGAAAATTTTTCAGCTGTATTTGGTGATATTTACAAAGAAGCAAAAGCAATTGCAACATTATTAAATGTCAAGGAAAAAAAACCACGAATATGTGTTAATCAAAGAAATCGATCAAATATTCCACATTATTCCACTGAAGAATACTATATGAGAACTATTTTTATCCCCCACTTAGATGATTTAATTACATCTTTAAATGATCGTTTTATGACTCAAAAAGAAATTATTATTTCGTTACAGTATATTTTACCTTCCCTTTGTATTAATAAATCATTTTTATTTATTCGTGAAGCAGTTGATTTTTACATGGATGATTTGCCAGGTTTTAAAGATACAGTTGAGGCTGAGTATGATTTATGGATATCTAAATGGACCTCAGTAGAACCATCATCAAGACCTTCCACCTCCACAGACGCTTTAATTTCTTGTGATAATACTCTATATCCCAATCTCTACCAACTGCTGAAAATACTTGCCATACTTCCCGTGTCAACTGCATCAGCTGAACGCAGTTTTTCAACACTGCGAAGATTAAAAACATATTTGAGAAATTCAACTTCAGAGAATCGTCTTGTTGGTTTAGCATTACTAAATATTCACAGAAATATTTGTGCAACGGACGATATGGTTTTAGACAAGTTTTCCAATAGTGGACGAGCTAGACGATTAATTTATGATTATAACGTTATATTTGATAAAAAACGATTGAAATTTGTAAACGTAATATTATAACGGAAAACGATAAACGTAAATAAATAAATAACACAAAACAAAACGTAACGTTTAACAAAATATATAAAAAGCCAAGGTTGGCTCCAAAACTGAATAAAATTCATTTGGAACTTCCTCCTTTTTCTCCCATGCGTGTTTGTTTAGCAACACAGACTTTAAGTCATACTGTGAGTTCAGGAATTATGACACTTGTTGGATTAAATAAAATGAGCAGTGATTCAATACATACAGCAAATTTTATTAAAATTTTTGATGATCTTTTTGATACATTTAATAGTATTACCCAAAGTGAACCAAAAGTTTTGAGAAGGCCTCTTTCTAAAGATTCGTGCCATTGGGAATTTTTGAATAAAGCTGATAAGTTTTTGTATAAATTAAAAATTTACAATAAATCAGGAAAACAACTGCCATGTATTACAGGCTGGCGAGAAAATATAAGTTCATTAAAATTGCTTTTTAAAGAACTAAATGAATGTTATGATGTAGATTTTTTGTTGACTAGGCGTCTTACCCAAGATTGCATAGAAAATGTTTTTTCAGTAGTCAGATCCAAAGGAGGAAATAATGTTAATCCAGATGCATCAAAATTTAATTCTTCAATGCGAATGTTAATTTGTAATCATTTATTAACTCCATCTAAAGGAGGAAACTGTGAGATTGATGCAAGTCAGTTTCTAACAAAACTTCATGAAATAAAGATGTTAGATTTAAAAATGAAAACAACTGTAAATGAAACACATCAAGTTAATGACAAAAAAAATGAAAATTACATACATAGTTTAATGGACAACCTTTTATCACCAACTAATATACAAAGTATTCTTATGGATGAACATAATTCTTCTGCAGTGGCATATGTGACTGGGTGGGTATGCAGTACTTTAGAATAAAACATACACTCCTTGATTTCAGTTTTTACCGTATTAAGTATGTGATCGGAAACACATGTTATCAAATCATTTTGTATTGTATTTGACAATCCTGAAAATATATTTTTTATCGCCTTGTAATGGTTTTGAATCTCTAATGAACACCTAATAATGTGCATATCAAAAAGTTCTTTAAAATTTCCTTTATTCAAGGAACTTGAGCTTTCGTTATGCCCTCGAAAGGCCAGTTCCTGTCTACCCAAAAATAATACAATATCAATCAGATGTTCCATAAATAGTCGTTTAAGCCGAACATTTTCATTATATTTTTTTTTAAACAAATAACCATGTTCGATCAAAGCGTCTACTATAGTTACCCTATTATTTTCCAGATGTTTTAATCCTAACATACAATGAACATGTTCTTTAGCAGATTCATGAAGTTTAACACTA